TAAGGCAGGAATAGGAAACGTATGGACCTCTGGACATTGCTGGATCACAGTTTCTAGCAGTCTCCTGGCCAGTAGTAAGGGACCCTGGGAATTGTAATTCAGTAACAAATAGCCACAAATTCTCCATCTTTGGTCTAAAGCAAGACAGAAGGCTTATCTACACGTCCTGCTTGCCACAGTTCAGGGACATTCTTTTAACCATTTGTATAGGACATTTTTCACAATAACACCTTCATCTCATTGTCAGCACACTCCTGAGGGAAACTGAAGGCAGTCTGAGTTGTTCTGGCATGAAAGTGATGTTTTCCTTCATATCCTGACACAAGACATGTCATGTGGACATTTGAGGGCACATGGAGGAGAATGCCGAAGGATGCATTCAGCACTCAGGTCTGCTGTGTGACTCCTCACTTCTGTAGGACACTGTAGTTTGGCTGTGTGGAGGACCTAAACCCCAACTTCAACAGCTGCTTTATTCACTATATTTTAATGGCAATATCAACCTACTTTATTCACTGTATTTCAGTGGGAATATCAACCTAATGGGAAATAACCTAAATAGTGGTTATTTCCAATATACAAGAGAATTCTCTAAACCTTTATACCCATTTCATATAAACCAAAAGCCTTTTGTCAACTTCCAGCTTTCGAACAACACTTACCTAGTAGCTCCATCTGGGCTGCACAACTCCAGAACACCACTAGAGGTCAGCCAAGAGAGACAGAAAGCTAAGTATTTGCTGCCATCTGGTAGCTGATAGGTTGATTGGTCAATAATCCATTGGTGAAAAATTAAAGGAAAAAAATGATTGGACAGCCCCATACTACACAAGGACCACTCCAACACATCTGTGTAGTGATTGGTAATAGATGTTCCTGTGGTTAGGAATATTGAATGGGAATGGAATTTTGGCCAGGGAATTCACTAGTCCCTTCGATACATTTTGCATGCAGTGATGGAATTCACATATCACACTAACGCATTCATATGCCTTAGGACAATATGTAAACCCAGCAATGGGATTTGCCGACCAGTGGCAATGAACACATGCTTAGCAGTATATACACACTGAGTATCAGCCCCACTAGGTAGATCAGACCAAGAAATCAACTCCACAGAAAGGCTAAAACTACTTTTACTGCAATTGGTTGTAATAACAGAATCTTGCAAGTCTGATTGTGTGGGACCTCCTCCCCCTTCTTATACTCCAGTGAATCAGGGAAGAGTCTGTCTGAGCCATTTCCAAATGTTATCTGGATGTTCTGGACTTAAAATATGTTCTCCCTCTCCAAACTCTTCTTTTTTGAAAGAATTTCAAAAGTAAATTGCCATTCATTGAACTGTAGAAAGCCAAACTCAAGCAGGTACTATATTTCCCATGTTCAAATCCTGGTTTAATATTTGTTAAGAACAATTATTTATTTATTAAACTTGTCCCCGCCCATCCCCCCCCAACGGGGGACTCTGGGCGGCTTACAACAGATTAAAACAATAAATAAATATACAGTTAAAATTTATAAGAGGACACATTTACAGAGAATAAAAGGAAAAGGAAAAATCCAAGAGGCCAGTGGAAGCAACACCAGGCCTCGAGGCGGCTAGCCAACCCCATAT